TACTCTACTCTCTCTCTCTCTCTCTCTCTCTCTCTCTCTCTCTCTCTCTCTCTCTCTCTCTCTCTTTCTTTCTAATATATTTACATAATTTAGGGTGATAGCGGTGGCCCTCTTCAAATACTTAATGAAGATTATAAGTACGTCTTGATAGGTAAGTTATAACCTACATAATAATTTTACGACTAATTACAAAAATTAATAACATTTATTTTGTAGGGATTACTTCAAACGGACTACTATGTGCTGATGTTAATTATCCAGATTTTTATACAGATGTTACACAAATGGTTTCATGGATATTGAAAATTACAAAACACAATTCTAAATATTGCTGGCACTGATAAAGCTGAATTAGTATTTCTAAGTATAATCAAATAATTATTATGTTTAAAAATTTATTACATAGACGCACACATCTATTTCCCTCCCCCTCTCTCCACAAAGAGATTTAATCAAATTTGTCATTTGTTATAAATTATTACATAAATGTCTTTAAAAATTTTTTAATGTCTAATGCAAACATTCACATTTTCTCACGACGTTGAACGTTTATCAGTTATTGTACCACATAAACCTCGTTGGCCGCATTGTCCATACATCGTAAACTATAATACTCAACTACGTTTGACCGTCGTGGTTCACGATACGGTGCCTGCAAAGCCAATATTAATCCATATCTAAATCAAGGCAAGAAAATAGCAACTCACCAATAAACCTTCAATTATCTTTAATGGCTATAATACTTACACTAAAATTGCACACACAGCAATAATGATGCTATTAAAATTGTAATATTATTTATCCTGTTATATAATATAATACTACAATTACTCATAAAATTACTATTACTAACCTGCAATTACTAATCTTATATATACTTGCTATAAATTAAACAAGACAATTATTTTCTATCATCTTTTTATGAACGTAAGTTTCCAAATCATCTTCTTTCTTTTTTGTTCGCTGACTATAGACACAATTGCTATAGGAAATCCTTATAAGAATTTATTGCCCATATACTATTTTAACACCTTTCCCACCTTTCCGAAAGTAACTTATAACACTTTTGAAGTGAAGAAGAGCAGTGACCCACAAAATCTGCTGACCCATCTTCAACAGGATAAGATACATTCTTCATATGGGAAGCAAGATAAAATATAGCAGTGAAATATATAAAAATATCGATTAATTATAAAAATATATTGTATAAAAAATTTAATTTGTTAATAAATATAAAATGTTTTTTTCGATTTTTGCAAAATTTTTTGTAGCAATTTTTTTTTAAAAGCCTGTATGTATAATATCTTTCATATAATTTCATTAATTCCATAAAGATTATTGCGAAATCTATTTTGATTTTACAATTAAATCGTTACGTAGCATTCGTATAATAATCAATACGTATTAAATTCATAGAGATTATTTCTCTATTGCGTATTTCATATTGTGCATTCGTTAGAATTTGCCATCCAAGCATTAATGAAAATAGCAATTTATAGGTACACGCTTCTCGAGATATGAAACACCGGCGAGGTGATACGCTCAGCAATGCTGTAGCATCGAAATTGATTACCACGTCTGTTATTCACGACTTGATATAGAACAGAGTGTTCTTTGTATTGTGCTCAGTAATCGTTACGCTCCGTTTTTAGAAGGTGAAATTTCAACAGAAGTTGTGCATTATGAAGTCATATCTGTCTCTGGTGACCGTGATCAACATCCTCTTGATCCTAGACGTTCGTTGAAAGAGTAATTAAACGAAATTATCACAAGGACAAATTGAAATGGAACGTGACTGATAATCCACGACTTACTGAATAATTGCACTGTACTCATTTTCAGGAGGCATGCGCGCAAATACACCGCCTACATCTACAAGTAAATCCAGATTGCGGTAAATTGTATTAAAATTATGCACATATATGCGTTTGATTGAAAATTTGTTCACATAAAAAGCGAATAAGACACACAAGTGAATAAGAAACACATTAAATAACTTTTATTATAAAATATGTTGAAATACTAAAATTATTTGTAAATACTAATTTTCAATTCAATTAATTTTATATTATAATAGTAAAACGTACAAGTATACAAGTTGTGATTAAAGTATGTATTATAAAAAAAAAATAAACTTTTAATAAACTTTTTAAAAAAATCTATGAAGAAATAATATGAAATATGTATTGTATGTGTAGTATGTATTGTATAACATTATGTAACATTATATGTGTATATAAAACATTATAAACGCTTCATATGCATATATACATATAAAATTTTAGTTTATCAAACTTTTTTTATAGAATGTGGAGAATCAGGAGGGATATCAAATCGTATTGTCGGCGGAAAAATAACGATTCCGCATATATTTCCTTGGGTCGTAGCAATTTTTTACAAAAATAAGCTTCATTGTGGAGGCACATTAATTAATAACCAATACGTATTAACAGCTGGACATTGCATTAGATGGTATCTTATCAAATCTCTTTTGAAAAGATCGTAAATGTTTTCAATATCAAATGGAATATTAATATTATGTAATAAAAGTTTAATATATAAATAGTATATCATACACGCACACACGCACACGCGACATACACGCACGCACGCACGCACGCACGCACGCACGTACGCGCGCACGCGCGCGCGCGCACACACACACACACACACACACACACACACACACACACACACACACACACACACATATATATATATATGTATAAAATTCATTTAGTAAATTACTAAAAGACATTTGTCAAATATAATATAATTACAATTTTATTTTATAATTTCAAAGATATTAGAACATATAACAGTATACACATAATTAGCAAAAATGAATAAATAAATCTGTTATGTATATTTTTGTTATCACATGCATACTTTTCATGGTAAGAGTAATTATATACTTTTTATGGTAAGAGTGATTATATATAAATAATAAATATAAAATATTTTCTTACGAATTGCATAGGGTAGATTATGCCGATCTTTCAGTCGGCTTAGGTATGCACGATATCAAAAATCCAAACGAGGGATACATAGCTGAAATTGATGAAATAATTTTACATGAAGATTTTGAGAGTGATGAGCTTCATGATGTAAATGATATTGCCTTGATACGACTGCAGCATCCAGTCGAAATCGACGAAAATGTAAAACCTGCATGTCTTCCTCATAAAGGTTAATTATAGCTTATAGTTTTTTCATAATCTTTAAAATGTTAAATTAAGTTTAAATGAAATTAAATGAAATAAAAATATTTAAACAAGATTAAAATTTTAATTAAAAATATTTCTTTTGTGTTTTTATGTATATTTTTAAGACATTTTAAGACATTTTTAAATATTAAAAAAGATATAAATATAAATATAAATAAAATTTTCAATAATAGATTCTGATTACACGGGAAAATATGTTAAAGTTACTGGATGGGGACGTGTGCATATAAGAGGGGAACCTTCCCAATTTTTGCGTCAAGCCACCTTGAAAGTAATGTCTTTTGAAGTATGTAAAAATACTTCATTTGGAGAGCATCTCACAGAATCGATGATGTGTGCTTATAATGATAATACTGATGCATGTCAGGTATTATTTATACCACGTTTAATTAGTTCAATCCTCTAATTTATACTTTAAGATCAATATAATATTGTAAATTATTTTCTGTACCATTAAAGATATTAACTTTTTATGTTTTCTTTACTATATATATAAAAATTTGTATTGGCTAAACAATTTATAAAATATTATATTAGATATTATTTATTAACAAGTACATACATGTTAATTATGGAAAATATTAATAATATAAAAATATTTATATTAATAATATAAAAATAATAATAATAACAATATAAAGTAATATTAAAATTTCAGGGTGACAGTGGCGGACCTCTTCTAAACCAAAGAGCGGATGGAAAATATGAAATAATCGGTAAGAATATTATAACACTTTTTTTACATAAGTTCTACAGAGAAAAAGGCATAATAAATATGTTTGAAATAAATATATATTTTATTATATAATATTTTTGAAATAGTATATATTTTAAATACTTTAGACAATATGTATACATGGAAGCATTTAACGTTAACTTATACACGCACACTTTCTAATCAAAGTTTTCTTAATATTAAAAAAATACATTTTTTTGTTTTTAAATACTCAATATTAGATTTTTTTTGCCATTTCATTTCAACAGGTATAGTTTCGTGGGGTGTCGGTTGTGCTGATCCTGGAATTCCAGGAGTATATGTAAAAAATACAGATTATCTAAACTGGATTAAATATCACAGCAGAGACGGTATTTATTGCGTAGATAGATAAACTTCATGTAACAAATACATGTAACAATAGAAAAGAATAAATGTAAATTTAACATTAAACTATAAACAGCTTCAATAAATAATCTTAACAGTTTATGAAATATATTCAAATTATAAATCTTATCAAAAATCATTATTTATTACTAAAATGATTGTTTCCAATTCATTATACGAATATTATTATCTATTTACTGACTCACAAATACAATTGATGTGCAATCCAGTAATTCCTTAAAATACGATAAGTTCAATATCATTAAATCACGTAAGCAATACCATAGTATGAATATTTCACTAGGGATATGAACATAATCTGCAACAATCACGATTCTTTCTACATCGTTAACAAATCATAGTAGGCATTTTCAATTTTATTTTATCATCCATACAATTCATTTTTATTGGCGATAACTTTAATCGTTTGATGAACAATCAAAACTAATAAAAGTACATATCAACATTATTATAGTCAATAGTGATATTATTATTTCAAAAGAAATAAAAGTAATATGTAGCAGATTATTCTTATCTATCATATGAAGATTGAGTAATGTTTTCGAAATTCTGTATATATATATATATTTTTTTTTTTTTTTAAATTAAACTCTAATTTAATATGTAATTTAATTGTATTTAAAAAATTTTAAACAATACAGAGATAATTATATATCTAAAAAGATATACATGTATTCTTATTTTAAATCATATATACTATATATACATTATACATTTTACACACACGCATATATACACACACGCATATATATATATATATATATATATATATATATATATATATACATAATTTAAATTAATATGTAAATTATTGTTTTATTATGATGATAATAAATGAAATAGATTAGAATTAAAATTATATATTTTTGAAAAAAATAATTAGGTACTTAGATAAAGTATTTCTTTTAATTAAAAATCTACCACATATAAATTTATTATCTGTTATATTTCATACATATACATTATTATACAATAAATTCTATACATTACATTAGAAATTTTATGTAAAGATTTACAAGATTAGCAGTAAATTTTAATTGAATACAATGGACGGTTTTCTTTTTCTTTATGTTAGAAGATACAATAAATTACAATATATATAAATAGATATAGAAATTAAAATAAAATTTAAGATATTTAATATGTATATTAATTCAAATTATAATAAAAATTTTAAATATAATATAAATCTCACAAAAAACCAAATTCAATATTATTAGACAAACTTAATTAAATAATGAAAATATTGTAGGAATAAAATAAAAAAATATCAAATAATTATATGTAGAAGAAGAACATTTATAGTAAATAATAGACAATAATTTAACAATAAAATAATACTAACCAAAATTCATTGGAAAAAACACCGCTTTATATAACAATACAAAAGTTAAAAATAAATAATATATTTATAGATTAAATAATATATTTCAATTTAACGATTGATTATTAAAATAAAAATACTCAATAATAATTAACAATAATATTTAACAGATTCTCTGAAAAAAAATGTTTGTTGCAAAAATGTGCATCAAAAAAGACAAAAATAATTTTGTTATAACTTGGAACAGAATCAGAACAAAAACCAAGAGAATTTGGTTATTTCATTGTGTTCAATTGTTATGGAAGACAAAATGATGTATAGCATTTTCAGCGATGTAATGCATATTTTTACACGCGTAGTCATTTAATATATCAACAATATTTTTCTGAAGTATCTGTGTGCCAAAATTAAAATTGTTTTTAAATATCTCAATTTGACTAAGGTTTTTTGTGAAATCTTATGAAATTTTTTAAATATAAACTAAGAAAACATTAATAAAAAATTAAATATATGTATAATTATACTATCAAATGTAACTTGACAGTGTAGTGTGTCATAGCCTAATATTAAATTACTTACTAAATAAGAATAAAATATAAATATATTGCGATATCATACCACATCAAATGCTTATCTATATAAATAATTAAGTAATTAATAAATTGACTGATCATTCATGTCAAAGATTAACCATATTTACTCATAATTAACTATATTAGTTTTTTTATAAATTATTAAACGCATAATATACATGTCTTTTTTTATAGAACAGAATGTAAACATTTATGGCTAACACTTCGTTAAAAAATGAAAAATGTAATATATTATATATAAACAAAAATTAAAATGTTTGTTAACTCTTCAATGCGTTAATACTCAAGTAATCAAATTTGTCTATAGTAAAAATTTTTCATATATAATTATATATAATTATATATTATATGTAAAGCGTCATATGTATGTTTATATAAAAATATATAAATTATATATGGAAAATATTTTATCAGGTATCAAAAACAGATTCCTGCAAAACCTATTTTCTTAATAAAAAGATTTAGTATATTCAAAATATAATGTCATTGACAAAATGTTGCAAAACTATAGCAGAAATTATTATATAACTGCAGATTAATGACAAAATAAAATAGATTTTAAAGTATCAGTTATATAATTTTACATGTAATTGATTGGCAGAAATAAAACAGAATTTGTATTTGATAAAGCCTACTTGATTTCTACAGCTAATCTGTTGTCAACTTATCTCTGATAACTTTAAATTTTGTCAAGTATGAACTTAATGTGGACACAATTGATGCCCACTCATTAGCAATTTCTGATGGAACTTCTTACTAATATCTGTGTGCCGACATACTGCGAACAATTTACTTATAAATTGTAATAAAATAAGCCATAAATTATATATTAACTTGATGTAATATAAAATAAAATATAATTATTATTCAACAGATACTAGCAACAGATACTATCCATAAATTTTGAAATTGAAATGATAGATCATTTCAATTCCAAAATACATAAAACTTTTAAAAAATTAAATAATACTATACTATAAATGTGTTTAAATAGAAAATATATTACACTTGTTATATAATACAGAGATTATAAAATTTGTGATACTCTACTCGCATTAATATATGACATGAGTAACATTAGCATTACATTGAGACGTAACGGCTTCTTCAAGTGTACAGTCCAGTTTTCGATAGTTGGCTGTACTCGGTCGTCGTCTACTACGATTACTTCTTGATCTTCGACCTTCTAATACAATAGCAAATATCTAAAAGTAAAAAAATACTTTACATATAGACATTAGGAATATAAATATCAAATTAATATGCAAAATTACCTTTTGTTTATTATGATAACCTACATATCCAGCAAGACATGCCAAAGTGATTATAGTCAAATATGTAAAGAAATGAGAATCATCTTCCGTTCTTATATTAGAGTATTCCGATAACCTAGCATTATTCTTTTGTTCAAATGTTTCTTGCACATTCCCATTTTGATTTCCTTTCACAGAAAATGTATGCATAGATATATAATGTGACATAATAATTAAATAATATAAAATTTATTTTTATTAAACATTCTTACCTATATCTACTGGATGTTGATTTGTATCATCTACATCTGAAAATTATATATAATGTTTACATATATTTATATGTACATATACATGCGTAGAAATAAAAATTATGCAAAATGTATAATAATGTATTTAAAATATATAAAATATATGTAAAAAATACTTTATAATATAAATAAATACAATTTAAATTTTGTGTTTTTTGTACGACAAAATGTTTTAAAATATAAAATTTTAGAATATAAAATTATATAAAAATATACATAACATTCCAATTTTTTCTTAATACCTTTATTCATATTTATTAAAAAAAATAGATTAGACATAGCAAATACACATTTATAAACATTAATACACACATTACAAATATATATTCATAAGCATTAATACCATCCATATTATTTTCCATATCTTCCTCTGGATTCTCAGCATCATAATGATCTTGTGTATTTTCTGATAATGTACTAGTTTTTAAATCTTCAATATCTTGTTCTTTATTTAATTTTTCTGTATTTTCTTCATTTACAACTTTTTTATGGGATATATTATCCAGAGTATTTTTTATTGATGTAGATAATAAATCATTGCTTGCCGGGAAATTTTTAGTGGAGTTTGTAATTACAGGATTAGTTTCAAGTTTAATGTCACCAATATCTTTATTTTCTTCTAATACTGAAGATGCTGATTTATGAGCCTGTGATTCAGTAATATTTTTTTTCTTCTGGATATTATTTAGTTTTTCAGTATCAGATTTTACTTCTCCAGATTTTACATCTGGAATTGGTACATTGTTAAGTATATGTGAATTATCTTTAACCTTATTAATGTTAGAATTTTCTGTACTTCTCTCTCTATCCTCATCTTTAAATTCTTTTGCTTGTGGTACTGTTTTAGATTTATTTGATATAATTTTAATTGTTTCATCCTTTGATTGATCAGTCATAGATGGTTTATCAGATGATGTCAAATCATATTTTTCTATTTTGTTTGCTTTTTGAATATTGTCAATGCTTTTAATCCAAGCAAATACTGCACATAGTGGATGAAATTTATCTTTAAAATCAAAACATATTTTCATACATTTATGAGGTATACCAAGATTTTTGACCAATGGTCCCCAAAGTAAACTTGTCTCCTTATATACTGATGTAAATCCTTGTAGATTATTACAAAATTCTTTTTGATTTTTATCTTCACTAGGATATTTCACCACATACTTCTCCACATATGCATCGAATGTTGCTGTACTATTGAGAGAAATTTGTAAACGACTAGAATATTCACAAATCTTATATGCAGTATCATAAACTCCTACACATAGAAAATTACTTAAGGTGTCTAGGTGTTTATAGTTCCAAGCAATATTAGGATATGCCATGGAGGCACAAGGTTTTATGTAATCTGATTCATATAAAATTTTGGATGTCGGACATAACTTCGTGTCATTCTTTATGATATCTATGACGCTAGGTTTCATTGGTGCGCTTTTCACTCCCGTGAAAAAAACAAATAGGATAAAACAGTTTGGCATAATGCAAAATAAATGAGCGTAACGATTTCCCATTATTTCTTTTTTTTTTTCAAAATCTCTCAGCTTCTATTATATGAATTAGAAAACCCACTATTATTCTATCGATTAACGAACATAATTTTATTTTATTGACTTCAATTCTAGTGGATACTAATCATTTCTTCAAAAAATCTCAAGTCTCTATTCTTACTCACTACAATTAGTGTTGTTCTAAGAATAAAATACGTCGTATGAATTACTTTTGTCTATCATAACCTCTCCAATTCAATATTCTCAGATTTTGCCAGTAGCACAAGATGCTCGACATATAATGTTCACCAAATCAAGTTTAATTTTGTTGCTGACATACAACACGCCATCTGAGGGATTCGTACAATTTCATAACATAAATTTACCAACAGTGAATAAGTTTCTAATTTATCATATAGTAATAGCAATATACAGGGTGAATTTTAATAAATAATTCAACCACTGACGAGATATTGTTAAAGACGATCGATCTTATGGGAGTTAACATGATTGCTAAACGGGTCCAGGGATAATTGAAGAATAATAATATTAACGGTTATGACAAATTTAATTTTAAATTAATAGTTTTTTTTACGAACTTTTCATTTGTAAAAGGAACTATTAATTTAAAATTAAATCCGTCATAATAATAGTAATAAATAAACGTTATTATCCTTCCTTTGTTATTCTCAGTACAGTCAAAATGGTCGATAATATCAACGTTCTTCAATTATTGCCGGGCCCCTTTGGTGATGACACTACTCTCGTAAGACTGACTGTCTTTAACAGTACGTCGTTGGTATTTTAATGTAGCAATTTTGATAACAATCACACTATATTATATATGTATACAATACAATATAATTACAATATATACTTTAAAATATATATTAGTATTATTTGATCTATTAATATTATATTGGTTTAATAAAGTTATTAATAATTTAGCATTTATTTATTATATATAAAAATTACTAAATTTAATCTTTAAATTTAATTTGGAAAAGAGAGAAGTTAATGTTTTTTCATAATTATGAAAAAGACTACGAAGATCTAAAAGTAGTTAAAAACTCTCGATATTGTCGATTATCGGTATAATTTTTCAATAGTCAAGATAAGTATATTCAAAATAAATAACTTAATTATAATAAATTATTAAATTTATTATTATTATTACAAATGCTTTCAAAATATAATCATGCACTCTTATGACACAATAATATAGTACATATTATTATTATTTGTATTATTTGTTGCAAAATTAGTTTTTTTTTATGATTACTTTTACATGGATCAAACACGGACAGCAAACAAAATAGCAATAAAGAAATGAAATGTAAAATAAAATAAAATATTATAAATATACAAACTCGTCAAAAACAAAATTAAATATAATGTTTATGCAATATTATTATTTAATAATGTTAAGTAAAATAAATAATAATTTACATATTGTTGTCCGGTGCAAGAAAGTAGACATAATGAGTTTACTCATTCGTAAAAGTAGTGGATAAACAATTAAAACGAAGATTTGTTATAGAATCTCGCAAACCGATCTTTACGAAGTGAAGCTTCTCGGAAGTTTTTAAAAATCAAACATATAATTTTCATTGAAGCTGAAATAAACAGCCGGACGAAGAGGTAATTGAGATTACATGAAATATCATGAATTACTACAAACGACTAAAAATTGTGATCTATTGATGGTTCTTCTGTCCTGGGATCTAGACGATCTCCTGTGCTGATATAATTACATTGAGAGATAAGTTAAGAGTACTAAACAGATTAAAAGCTGCTAATGCAACTTCTAAGGAAATCGATATCGTGAGAAATAAATTTTCTGCGATAAGAGGTAAGTGGTTTAGTTTAGGTGTGAGAAGATTTATTAACTGATTAAATTTGTGAAACTTTTAATTTACATAATATAACTCATCAATGTGTTTCTTCAAAAACTTATACGTAAACATAATTCTATTAAATAAACAAACATACAACTAATATGTACATGGGAAGAATACTTTTGTTGGCAAATCTAAAAATTTGGCTAGATACAGATCTGAAAATGATTTTGGTGGATCTTCAAAATTATTATATACAATGTTCAAATTGATTGTTAGAAGATCAAACATTTTTGTAGTATTATCATCATATTTAAGTGTTCTAATAATTTTAAATAATTTTGATAGACCAACAAAATTATTTTCAGATCTGTATCTGGTCAAATTTTTAGATTTGCCAGCAAAAGTGTTCTTTCCGTGTAATCATGTTAATAAATACATTATAATTTAATCTATAATTAAAATTAATGTGCATAAAAATTCAGTAAAAATTTTATTTTAAGCATAATAATACAAATAATTAAAAAATTATATATTAGAAATATAATAAAAAAATAATTTTACATAATGGTCTGACATAATTAGTTTATCCAGTTTAGGTTATCGTTATTACTTTTTTCACGTTTATTGTAGAAAAACTATCAGAATAATTAAACAATAGTCCATGTATTAATGATAATGATGAAGTTTCTTCTTTTTACTTTAATAGATTCATACTTATTATAGGTTTTTTTCTTTGGTTCTTCCCAGAGAATTAAATTAAAAACCAAAAAATAAAGAGAAGATATTTTGACAAAGGGCAAATTTATCGACTAAATATTACAAAATATACGCAAACTATTAGGAGAATTCAACTCTCAAACAATAGCAGCAAATATTCAACTGGATAAAAAAATGAGCAGCATTATAAATTCGCGCAGCAGTATATGATATATAACACTTATGTATAAGATGTAAATCAGCAAAAGTCCTTGAACTAGGACTATCTCCTTTGAAATTAAACTCCACCTGTGGCCAGGAAACCATGGAGAAATTTGCACAGAAGTATGTGAAGATCGCGTCACTAATGATTCTGGCGGTTGAGAACAAAATTACTAAGTTGGAGATGTACGAGCAGAAGGAAGGTTCGGTATGCTCTCTGACCAACCAAAAGGTATGGAAGGTGTTTCCCACGAAGGACAAATGAGATTTGGGACTGTGGCTTCTGCTACGATCGATGGTGGTCGATTGATCGTTTATCTCTGTGAGTATTCTGGAAAAGGTGAGCTCAATCAAGAATCATTCCTTTACGTTTCCTTTACTTTTCCTTGTATTGATAGCATACAAAACAATATCCCAATGTTACAAAGATATACTTTAACTCCTCCGCAATAGCTCTTATACTACTACTATAGCTACTTGTCATATCTGACATACTAGAAACCTGACCCATAGAGACGAAGATAGGATATACGCCGATAGTGACCTGTCAATCGCACGTTATCGGCAACGGTAGTCCTGGTGTTACAATATTGTTGTCGGATCGAAGAGTCGTTGATTATTTACGACCCTATTGTATGCCGGATTTTGCGATGAATTTTATTTTCTTTGCTCTAAATTCATATTTGATCTGCACGAATTGATTTCTTGTTTATACATGAACATCTCATTTTCCATTTGACACATGTTAAATATTCGTAAATCATTAAAAATCACACACTTGTATTAATAACACGCATTTAATTAAGCAAAAAGTATGTAGCTATAAATTTAAATAAACATGGAAAAAGATTAAATATTAAAAACGTGTATAATAAAATTTTACTATAATTTGAAGCTGCACCTTTCGTAACTAAATATTTCTAAATCTTGATACTTTCTCTGATTTGCATTTAAATATCTTATCGGCAATAATAAATTAAACATTTTGGACATAAATACAGTAAATAATAAATACAGTATGTTGTATATGTACAGTTGTACGTATGTATCACTGTTATTAAAAATCTAAAATCTATAATAATATATACGTCATATAGAATTCTACTATAATTTAAATAATCACGCAGACTAACAATAAGTATGCTTAAAATACATTAAAATTTTATATTTTACAAAAAATACTTACGATGAAATAAAAAGGAAGTTACAAAGGATATATAAAAATTTGCCGTGAATAAAATTATTACAGATATGCACGTTTGAATTCTAAACTTATCAAATACAAAGTAAACTTATGTTATAACATATCTTATCTTTCTATGTACGTACAACTGCCTGCCTCGATAAGCCTCGAACTTATTGATTTTTATGACCGCTTATAGACTATTTTACACGATATTAGTTATACACTGTGTCATTTTAATAATATATCTAATTGTTGATGTAAATTATTTCTAAGAAATTAAAAATTTTAATCGAGATCATTATTAAATTTATTAAATCTGTTTTGCAAATTACGATTCATCACTAAAGTTAAAATAATTCCTATCGAATGATCGGTTTATTAAACAAACGAAAGTCCCGAGAAGCTCATTCCGTTCTTTCTTGACATAATAGAGATCTTGTAGCTCAGCATGTCCCTTGGGTTCAGTACCAATCCCGTTCAACAAAGCCCTGGGAATGAACTCACCTACCTCAACGACATATCCGCGATACAACGCAGTTCTGAGTGCGTTCTTTCTTACGTTTCTTCGTGACCAAGTCCAAAATGCCCCTTGAGAATATCACTTACTGAATGCGTGAGTGAACTTTCTTTATTTAATGTTATCCAGCTTAATCTGATCAAGCTTGTCAAATGTAAAGAAAATTATAAGCAAAATATTAGCAACAATAATGCTAATATCTAGATAAGGATAAAAATAAATTTAAAAGAGAAATCGTAATTTATCTAAATTAAACTTTTAAATTAATTGTGTAGTATATCATTAATCATTTTTAATTTAAAAAAATTCAATTTCCATAATAGATACAAGTAAAATTATATCAAAATTTACAATAAATATATATCAAATTATTTTTAAAAATTATTCACAATTATGGATATTAATAATGTAATAAAAATGAATCTCCATAGTCTAATCTAAACATGCTAAAATTTAATTTT